TTTTTAAACAAAAATGATTTTCATGTCAATTGTATTCTTGAATAAAGCGACAATCAAACTTGTAACAAAATATTCAATATATTTAGCTGTAAACAATATGAATATCTTCAAACTAATTATGTAATACTTCCTCCGTTCTTTTTTAGTTGCAACAGTCAACCTTTGCATATTTGCCAACACACATTTGATCGTAAGTATATCTTAATCTCTATTAATAAAAAAATACTAGTATTAAAAATCAGATTTTGAAAATTTGTAATGTGATGAATTTAAAATTATTTTTTTAAAAAAATAATTTCCATAAAATAATAGTGTAAAATGTAGTCAAAGTAGATAATGTGAACAGTGCAAAAAGTCAATATGTTGCAATTAAAAAGAGATGGAGGATAGTATATAGTAGTGTAATGTTTAAAATTTTGTAAAATATAAAACGTTGAAACAAACACAGGCGAGTCTCAACGGCAAGCTTATGGAAGCTTACTATGTAAGATTAAATCTAGAATTGAGATATAGTCCTTTCGCCTTCCTTGAGGACCATTTATACATGGGGATTCTCTTTTTGTTTTTCACTGTCTTCGTAAGTGTTTACAAATTTGGTTGTATTTGAAAGAGGCAAGATAGAGGCGTTGTCGATGAAAGAGGCTATTTCGAGGTAGAACACAAGAGTATCGACTATCGACATATCACATACGGAGTATATGGACTGAAGTGATCAAATGGGAACATGAATCCTTCAGTCCAGAATTTCTGTTTATTGCACTCCTCGAATTCTAACTTTTTAATTTTTTTAGATCAAAGATAATTTTTACTGCTCCGCATATTTTTATCATATGTAGCCATGATATATATTAAGCTTTTTCTTAAATATTACAACTATATACGAAGAGTATATTTAGACTATACGAACATTTCATTTGCATTGCTCACCTTTCTTTAATTTTTCTCCTTTTATTTTGGGTATTTTTTATTAAATTCAAACCTTATATGTATTAATATTTCGTATATGCTTCTTATTTATGTTTAACTATTGCAATTTATTAGTACCATTAAGTACATTAAAAAACTTAGTATTAGTGTTCTCATAATTCATAAACATTCTTCCGTTCAAAGCACATGCGAGTTATTATTTATTTTCATCGATTTGTAATTTTGATTAAACGAAATACTACCTCCAATTTTTAATAAACTTCACACTTTCCTTTTTGAGACGGTCTAAAATAAATTCACACTTCCTTATTTCCTTTTTTGGCAAAGAAATCAACATCAAAACAGTGCCAAACAGTGTCTCAACAGTGCCAAACAGTGTCTCTACAATGCCAAACAATGTCAAACAGTGCCTCAACAGTGTACTCTACAGTAAAGTCAAATTTCTTTGCTTATTTTGTGTGAAGTCAAAGTGTGAAGATTAAATAAAACCGGAGGGAGTATTTGTTTGTAGTAGGGTTAACGGTAGTTTAAAAAACATAGATTGAGACAATAAATGTGATAAGAGCAAAAAATGACACTAAGATTTTCAATGGATTTCAAATTGGACACTATGATTTTAAGTAAGTCAAATAAACACTAAACTAAACTTTTTGATTCACTTTCGGCCACCCTTAACATCTCCGGTTCATTTCTCCGTTATAACCTGGTCTCTCATTAAGAACTCCCAAAAGATGCAAACCCAAAATCGATTGAGGTACACAAATAAAAAAAAAGTGGGAAGCGCTTAATTTCTCCTTCCCAAAGAAATTCTCAAAGAATGACCAAAAGCTCGACGCAAGCACCGTCTATGACTGCTCTCGATTCTCTTTCTAAACTGACTATACCCTGCTCCCAAGACTTATTAGAGCTAAATTAATATACTCTGTATGTGTTTGCAAAGATGGCAGTGCATATGGAAGCTTCGGTAAGCTAGGAAATTAGGTTTATATATACATCTACTTTGTTTCGGCAGGGCTGGTTAGAGCAGATTGCTGCAAGGACTGAAGCATATGATTTATTCCCAAAAACACGAAATTGTGAATTAAAGTTTCTTAATTTTTCTTATCTGCTTAAATGAAAACGAAATTGTGATTTATTCCCTAAACATATACAGTGTTAACAATGGGGAAGAGATAAAGGGATGGGTTGTTAACGACGGTGAAGAATTGTTTAACAGGGGTTAAAGGGTGGTCAAAATGGAACCAAAAACTTTAATTTTGTATTTATTTGGTCTACTTAAAACCTTAGTGTTTAATTCGATATTCATTAAAAACGTTAGTTTCATTTTTGGTCTTTTGCCTGACAATAAATGGACGGGTGCATCTTGCTTCCATGTTAGTCGTTGGACAAATTTTACCGTTTATATATATTAGTTGGACTAATAATTAAAAAATGGAATATAAGTTCACACATTTTTTTTAAAATAGCAGTTCAATGAATTAAATCACTTTGCTTTTTATTTCACTTTATCATCGTCATCTATTATTCGTATTACGAACCTTCTACTGTTCCAGATTTTTATATTGTTACAGGTGATGACCAATTTGTGTAGTACTTGGTATATAAGAAAGACTCATCATTCAAATATTCAATTTAGAAGAAATATTTTGGCTCATTGACTTATTATGATTATTTTGAACTCCATTTGTTGATTTACGGGATTTTCACATGTTTTAGGAGATGTATACACAAAAAAAATCATAATAATCATTTCGTTGTAGCAAAAATAGATAAAAGCACTTTTAAAGGAGTTCTATTACAATTTTAATTTACAAAGACGTCATACGTGATAAGTTACCTCGATCGACCATTACTATACTTGACTTGGTTGGTAGCATTCGTTTAATTGTTTTAGTCGGCATAATGGTAAATAATTGAAATATAATTGTGCCTAATTACTATCATAATTAACAATAATATTTATATTGAGTTTGTTCATTCTATCCATGTATAGAGAATAATGTCAATCAACATGATTGATGAGTTATTATTGATTGAGTTTGATTCTTTTTATCACCTTCTAATATAGTCACTTTTTGCTTAAAACACTCTATATATTACATCGATATTATTTTATACGTTTATAAATATTTTATGTACGTAGTATATCATTTAAATAAAAGGTTTCATCCGTGCGTCCCAAGGGTGAAATACTAGTTTCCCTCTAAATCATTAAGTAAGGATGTTTTCTTTTGGACTGTTTTCAGTCCCAGACCAGACCAGACCAGACCAGACTTAAACAGACCAGACCAGATCAGACCAGACTTAAACAGACCAGACCAGACCAGACCAGACCAGACTTAAACAGACCAGACCAGACTTCCGTAGTTATAAAATACACAGAGACCAGACGTTTACCAGACCAGACTTAAACAGACCAGACCAGACTTAAACAGACCAGACCAGACCAGACCAGCAAATTTCAGTCCAAAAGAAAACATCCTAAATCATGTAGTAGTAATATTTATAAATAGGACTATTGATGTTTAATTCCAAAAATAGGACATGCATTTCTAATTTGAGAAGTTTTAATCAATCTATTCTTTTAATAGGATTGAATAAATCTTATTTAGAGAATAAAAAAAACTTAATACTGTTTATACAAGAAAAATTAACTAAACTAAAGAAATGGGAATCAAGCAATTTAGGATCAACAAATGGCAGAAATGAATTCCTTGATGGAAATAATACGGAGTAGTATTAAGAATGAGTTCTTCGAATATAAAATAATGCTTTTGTGTATTCGTATGTATTGTAATGTGTGTGAGTGCTCGCTTTTAGTGGTGTATATATACATGGAGTATCTATTATCCGTCTCCCATCTAACTACTTCGATAGTGGGCATACCCACCATCCGAATTATTAGGGAATTTCTCCCCAAGTATTGCAACCAATATTTAAAATTCAAATTGGCCTTTATCTTGACCAATTCGGTGGACTACTTTGGACTTGGCTGCTTGACTTCGTATGCTGCTGGGCTTCACAACTTGGACCGAACAGATCTTGGGCCCAACCCCTTGGTAAATCCCGGATCTAACAATGCCCCCATTCATGATGGCCACGAAATAAGCGCGAGAATAAGCGCGAGTAGAGTAGTCATCATGAATTTAAAAGTCTTCTTCTGAACAACTCTTTCCAATGTCAGTCTCTTCGTAAACCGAGACACCTACTCGATTACTTCCCTCGATCTACACTCCTTCTCCTTCCCAGAGGCTTGGTTTTAGTCTCGTGCTTGGCAAACTTGCTCTCTGCTTCGCTTTGTGTTCGCTGCAACCATGGAAGCTGTCGTTTTCAAAAGCCAAAAGGTCCTCGATGCCAAACACCTTAGGGCTGGAGACCTGCGGGTGAAGGACAAAGAGGAGATTGAAACGCTCTATGGTTTCCCTCCTTCTGCTAGGATTCGCTACCCGGTGAGGTCTGAGAGAGTGGACTGGGTATCTCCTGGCTGGGTTAACTTCTATCAGTATCCCTTTAAGAAACTCGGGATACGTTTCCCCTTTTCGGAGCTGGTGCGAGGCTTTCTGATTCTGGCTAAAGTTTCTCCTTGTCAACTTACTCCTCAAACTTGGCGTCTGCTTCGATCTCTGGAATTTCTGATTGAGAAGAAGAACTTGTCGTTTACGGCTGAAGACTTAGGGTTCACATACGACCTTCGCACATCTGGTGAAGGGAGATTTATTCTGTATACCAATGCAGGAATGGAATCTTTGATTCTGGGAATCGACAACGCCAATGTTAGAGGTTGGCTGTCTAAATTCTTCTTTGTTGAGAGGTCGTCGCTAGGTGAAGCTGGCAGTTTTCTTCCGGACCGACTGAGAGTTGCAGGTATGGCTCCTTTCTTTTGTTGTTTTGCTCATGTATGTATTGTCATTATTTGTGCATGTGGATTTTTTATTTTCACGTTCGTGCACCATGTTTGCCCCCCGTCCAGGTGAATCAAAGACGTTTTCTCTAGAATTTGGTCCTCAGGCTGTTGAGAGGACAAATGCTATTCTGGCTTTAGATACCGAAACTAGGCTTTATTCCACCCTCAAGGCAGAATTCCAAGGTATGGTGACTGACTCTCTTTCTGTTAATCCGGTTCACGTTGCTTTGAGGAGATCCAATCGGAATTTGCCTAAGCCTCTGGGTTCATCCCAAGATATATTTGCTATTTCAGTTGACAGCTCAGAAAACATGGAGGAGGATACGACGAGTGTCACTGGTGATGTCCTCATTTTACCTCATCCGGATGAATGTGTCTCTGCCATGCGTTGCTCTAGTGATGTTGTTCCTTCAAAACATACTGCTGGTACTTACTTAGATTGTCCCTTTCTTGATTTTGTTGAAATTTCCTTATTATAATGTTTTGCTTTATGTTACCTTCCAGCTTCTTCGTCGACTCCCGGTGTTCGCAAGGCTTTAAATCCGGCTGAGTTATTGAATTTGACCTCGAAAAAGAAGAGAATGATTCCTCCTCTTCCCCTGGTTCTTAATGCTTCTGTAGAGGCGACCCATCCAAGTCCTGCTCTTTCTGTTCCAAGCCTAAATGCTGGTTTACCCAAACCTACTGCCCTTGTTATCGATTCTGCCACCAATGTGCCGCATATGAAGGATGAGATGTCCCGACTCCTTCTCCCGGTTGCTCTTGATGCGTTTGCCGGTTCCTCAGATCCGGATGTGCTGAAAGCATCATCTGCTTTTGCGTTTCAGGTTGAAGTGTTACAAGTGCTCCATTTTGCTTTGCTTTGCTAATTCTTGATTTTGTATATGCTGACTTGCGTTTTTTCCAGTCGCTTCAGGCTAGCTTGGCTGCGTCCAAACGCATGGAGGCCTTGCTGGTTGAGCTATCAGAAGCTGCGAAGCGTGAGGAAGGGTTGAAAAAGGAGCTCTCAGATGTAGCCCAGTCAAAATTCAAGCTAGAAGAAAGATTGGTTCTCCAAGACCGTGCTGTCGGCGCATTGACCGACGAAGTGAAGATCAAAACAACCAGGATCAAGCTGTTGGAGGATTATGCTAGGAAGAAAAGGCAAGAGGTTGTGGATGCGGCAGGTTACTATACTTGGCAAACCAGAAAGGATTTGATGACAGCATTTCTGGCGGGAGAAACTAGCGGCTGGACCCCTCAGGATGATATTGCTACTTGGGCTGAGCATTTTGAGTGGATGGAACCTCCTGTTGGCGACGATGGCTTCGATCTGGGCACATGTGATAATGAAGCTGAGTCCACTCCTGCTCCGCAACCTTGAAATAGATGCTTGATCAAAACAATTCCTCTTTTGCTTGAATATTTTATCCTTGAACACTTTTTGGGACCACACCGGCTGATGGTTTATTCGGTGTTCGGTGGTCTCTCGCATTGTGTGGTCTTTCGAACTTCGTTTTGTTCTAAGATGCTATTGTCTGCTTGATATGTGTGTCAATGTAGTATTTGAGTCGTTTTGTGTAATTGTGTGTTGTTTTTGTGTAGTTTTGGCCAAAACTCGTAGGGATTCTTGGTCCGTGCCTCATATTTCATATATGAAGGACTCAAGTTTGCCCCACCTTCCCTTGTTGCGGGGTTTGTGTTAGCGGTTGTCGCTATGTGTATCGCATATTGGTCGTCCCTTGCGCTGTCAAAATCCTGCATACAGACATATCGTCAAAGTCTGGCCGTTGGCTTTTGGCCAACGGCCCTCCGATGCTTAAGTTAGTAATCGTCATAATAGTGAATTAATTAAACAAAAACTCACTTAAAGAAAACAACATTCCATGCTGTTACCCATATTCGTAATACAAGAATTCCCTTATTTTATTTACACAAATACCTTTGAAAGCATCGACGGGACTGGTAGCAACATTTATGATGAAAATTAAAACAAAACTTTAACACAGTTTGCTTAAAGTGTGGTAGAGAGTTGACGAATTGATGGGAGTTCAGCTGCGGGATTGATCCCTAATGACAACAGGCTTGTTTATGTTACCGTCACGTTCGTTCAGCTTGAAATCGTCAGTCAGTACCTGTTCAATGATTAGTTTGGCCGTTGGCTTGGGGCCAACGGCCCTCCGACGATCAAGTTAGTAATGGAATCTAAAGAAAAATGTTAACTATATTAAATGAACTAGAAGTGAAAGGGTTTTAGGTGTACCGCATTCCAGCTCCTTGGTATTTGCTTACCGTCGACAGACTGTAGTCGGTATGCCCCCTGTCCGACGACATCCGTAATCCGGTATGGGCCTTCCCAATTGGGACTGAATTTTCCGCTTGCTTCATTGCCGAAGGCCTTTCTGAGTACCCAATCGCCCTTCTTGAATATTTTGGCTCGAATATCCTTGTTGTAGCTTCTTGCCACCCTTTGTTGGTAAGCCGCCATTCGTACTTTAGCTTTTTCTCTTAATTCGTCGACAGTGTCAAGATCATGAACCAGTTCTACATTGTTTGCTTCTTCAGTGATAAGTCCGTACCTAGATGTTGGCACCTCGACTTCGACTGGAATGACAGCTTCGCATCCATGAACCAATGAGAAAGGTGTTTGTCCTGTAGCCTCTTTTGGTGTCATTCTGTCTGCCCACAATATCAGGGGTAGCTTCTCGGCCCATCTCCCTTGTGCCTTTTCAAGCCGTTTCTTTAGATTTGAGATGATGATCTTGTTGCTTGATTCAGCTTGTCCGTTTGATTGTGGATAGCGAGGTGTCGACATCTCCAATTTGATGTTGTACCTTTCACAAAACCGTCTGGTTTTGGTGCTGATGAATTGTGATCCATTGTCGCACACGATCTCTGACGGTATGCCAAACCTGCTCAAAATGTTTCTTTTAATAAAAGATATTACCTGAGTGTCGCGGATTTGTCGGAATGGTTCCGCTTCGATCCATTTTGAGAAATAGTCCGTCATTGCCAACATGTAGACTTTCTGTCCGGGCGCTTCAGGCAGCTTCCCCACAATATCCATGCCCCACTTCATGAAAGGCCACGGAGATAAGATGGGGTGAAGAGATTCTGCATGTTGATGATGCAATGGTGCGTGCTTCTGGCATGGTTGGCAGGCTTGGGTGTAAGTGACAGCATCCTGCCTCATTGTTGGCCAGTAGTAGCCGAATCTCAATGCTTTGTTAGATAGGCTCCTTCCTGCTGCATGATTGCCACACTCCCCTTCATGAAGGCTTTTGAGTACTTTGACAGCTTCGGAGGGGGCCAGACATCTTTGATATGGACCTGCTTTTGAACGCTTGAACAAGACATCATCAATTAATAGAAACTTCGTTACCTTTGATAAGAGCGCCCTTGCTTCCCTTTTGTCAGCTGGGAGGATGTTGTGTTTGAGGTAGTCCACATATGGCTGCATCCAGCTGCTGTCTGCGGCTGACTCAATGATGTTGACCAGCTCTGGCTTCTCAATAGCAGGCTCTGTCAGGTGGACGAATGGTATGTTGTCGTTACTTTCTGCCCCCAGACATGATCCGATTGCTGCTAAGGCATCAGTTTGGACATTTTCCTCCCTCGGGATTTGGTCAAAAGTGATGTTATCGAAATAGTTGCTCAAGTTGGTGACGACTTGTAGGTATGCCATCATCTTTGGGTCTTTAGCTGCATACACCCCGTTAGTTTGATTAACAATTAAAAGGGAGTCGCACCTTACCTCGATTGTTTTTATGCTGAGATTCCGAGCTAAGTTCAGCCCGAAAATCAATGCCTCGTACTCCGTGTAAGGAATAAATGTAATTAGATTTTGATGATGCTATAGGATTAGAATTTTAAAGTACCCCCAAATTAGATTTTATGTATTAGAATGTTCAGTTGTAAGTATTAGTGTAGTCGACGATCAGAGTTGCTCAGTTTTGGATCAGATCAGAAGTGCATCAGAACTGCTCGACCAGACTTACTCTATGAGAACTGCTTCATCAGAGTTCTCTTACCGGAAGTCCATCAGAGGTGCATCATGAGAGTTGCTGATAAACTTGGACATCTGATAGCCGATGAGAACTACAGATCAGAAGTACTCATCAGCGGACCTATCAGAGTCAGAGTTCAGTCAGAGATCAGAACTCCATCAGAACTCAACTTATCAGAAGAACCTGATCAGAGCCCGACGAACACTTAGAAAATTTCAAGCAACATCCAACAGCTCTGAATTCAACGGGTAAAAATATCCAACGGCTAGAAGACTGTGCATAAAAGGAAAGCATTTAATGCACATTAAATGAGCCTGATACGCTGAAGGATTGATTGCAAATGATTGACCAAAGAATCCGGGAAGATATATTATAAAAATAGAAACCTTCCAAAACGGCGGTCAAGTCAACTGTACGCACATTTAATGCAGTTGTCTCCTCCTCCAACGGGCAGACAACCCCAGTATATAAGCTACACACCGAAGATCAGGAAAATAACTTTGCTACAACTTTTGCACATCATCATTCAAGCTCTCTTGAGATTCAATTTCTACAACCTTCAACAAGACAAGCTTACGTTGGGAAGATTCAAACTCCAAATCTCTCATCCCCAACAAACAAGCAAAGTTCATCCTGTTCTTCAACACTTCAAGAACTTCATCAAACATCATTTGTAACGAAGCAAGTTGGAGGAAAAACTCTGTTTTTCAAAGGATCTTCTGAAAAGAAGGGCGTCCAAGTAACTGCAGTAGTGAAGTGGTGATACTTCCGGGAAGCTGAGTGAAAGGACCAGCCATCAGGACGTGGAACTGCATCCTGGGTGGCAGCTAGACTTGAAGAAGGCGTGGAGAACTTCTTAAGTGCTAGGAATTAGCTTTGTAACCGATCTACTTCAAAGCTAGTGGAACAGTGGACTAGAGGAACGAGTTGTTCCTTGAACCACTATAAAATATCCGGTGTCATTTACTTTACTGCAATTTATATTTCTGCACTTAGGATATTAACTGATTAACTCTAAGACTTGGAATCTGTGTTCAGCAGATCTTGTTTTCAGAGTTATCAGAAAGGCATCTGTCTTAGTTTTTTTCTGAGGCTACCCGGACAGATCAGAATCCGCTGCCAAGGCCAGTTCTGATATCAGAACCAGCCTTTCTCTGTCATCAGAATCCGACCTTCTCTGATAAGTCAGTTTTGACTTTGAGAAAAATTTGAAAAACTAATCAGTCTATTCACCCCCCCCTCTAGACTGATTACCATATTAAACGGGACCAACAAGTGGTATCAGAGCCTCCTTGTTCTTGTAATCTTTTAGGTTACTCTCTGAACAAAGATCCACTTGTTCTTAGCCTCTATTTATTTATTATTATGGATAACTCTCTTGCCAAGCATCTTATGTTCACAGATCAGAAGTATGATGATTGGAAGATCAGAATGAAGGCACATCTGTGTGCCCTTCATGATGAAATGTGGGAAGTCTTGGAAAATGGCCCCTTTATCCAGTTCATGAAGATCAATCCTGCTCACTCCATTGATAACTCTCAGCCCCAGATGATTGAGAAAGCCCGGTCAGAATGGACCAAGGAAGAGAAAAGGCAGTACAACCTGGATAATATAGCCAAGGACATCCTTTACAAGGCTATTGATGAAAGATACTTCAACAGAATCAAGAAGTGCAGAACTGCCAAAGAAATCTGGGATAAGCTGGATGAGATTGGAGCAGGAGATGAACAAGAAAGAGACAACAAGCTGACCATTGCTATGAAGAAGTTTGATGATTTCAAACTTC